ATCGATGTCCATGACACTAAGCTCTTCTCTCCATCATCACTTCGTGCTTATCCCTAGATATTCCAATGCTTCGCAGGCGGTATAGTACATCAGCTGAGAAGCATACATCACGGGAATGGAATAGCATCACAGAAGGAGGTGCTCTTCCACTTCGATTGTTCGCCCGCTACATTGGAAACGCCATTACTTCCAAAGCTGAGTTCAATGAAGACTTGATGTTGATTGCGAAATCAGGAAAAGTCTATATGTAGCCCGATCCTGGTATCTGTATACCCAAACGCCGTCTATGGTATCTCGTACAACTGCTCGCCTTTGGCAGCGAGTGTGCTGTTTTCCACTGTCCTCCTCTTGTCCTAGAGCTTCATGCCCGTCCCATGAAAAAAAGGGGTATTCCTATACAAAACAAGCAGACAAAAAACCACAATTCAAAAGCAGACTGACGTAGGCAACCCCACGGGCCTTAGCACTCGCGACGCCCCAGCCTCATAAATCAACCCCTGGCCCTTAGCCAGCCATTCCTCAAACGCCTCGCTAGTCTCATCCCCAGGGAAAGCATCCAACACCTTGCGGTCCGTGTCTGGGTACAGCGACCACACGCCCCTGAGCGAGTCTACCGTCGACCACGTGGCCAGCCTCCGTCTTGCACTACAATAGTGAAAGTAAAGCCTGCGGCAGAGATTGTACACCCGTTTCTGACACTCCGCCCGCGTCCCATCCTCGTCGCGCGCCTCGGGCGGGTTCCCGGGCATCACAGTCCACCATGCGAGACGCCACCGCAGGCTGGCAAGGATGCAACCCACCCGACGCAGCAGCGGGAGTAGCTCCTCCTCCTTGACCTTGGGTTCGGTGGACTTGTACAGCGCGCGCTGCAGGTAAGTATAGGCCTTGACCTCGACCTTGCGACAGATGACGCGGGCGAGCTGGGCAGCGAGCTGGAGAGGGCCGGCGTCGGAAGGGGATTCTGGGTCCAGGAATCGTTCGGGAAGGTGGACGTGGGTCTTGTAGACGTAAGAGTAGCGAGCGCGGGAGGGCATGTTGTGGATGGCGCAGAGGAGGGCGAGGGGATCGTCGGTCACGACATTGTCCATGCAAGCCTCCCAGTCCGCGTCGAGTTGGACGAGATCCCTGTCGATAAAGGCGCTCGGGCTCCGGTCTGTCCTGCCGCCGCCGATCTGAGCCTTCAGGGTGAGGAGATACTCGTGGCACTTTTGGAGGTTGAGGGTGTAGACGGGCCGGTTGTCTTGGTGAACGCGGATGTCAAAGTCGCAGGGGGTGTCCAGCGCGGCGATGACGTCGTCGAGGGGAAAGACGCGCTGTAGAGGAATGCGGATGCGTCGTGTTCCGTCGAGCGAGAGGTGGTTGATGGCGCGCTGGGAGACGTAGTTGCAGGACCTCGAGAGGACTAAGTCCTCGAAATGGGCCAACTCGCAGGGGCCCGGCCACTTGCTAGAGCAGCCATGCTTTTCACACTGGACGCAGGGGCTGTCTGGGGAGTTGTCGACCCGTCTGCAACCCTGTTTTGAGTACTTGCAGCGGATACAGACCGTCTTCTTGTTGCGGGTATCTTTGGCCTGCTCGCGAGATTTTGCTTCCATGGGACCGTTGCGGCGTCCACGGGCGGGACCCTTTGGGCTTGTGCTTGGGAAGGGGGCAGCTGCGGCTTCCGGCTTTTTGGAACGGGAGCGAATTTGTACAGGTGCTGTGGTTGTCGAGGAGGCTATGATATGCTCCTGGCTTGCGCGCGGCAACTGTATCATGGATGATCGGTTTGGCGGCGGCAGTGCAGTATGGCTGCGGGGACGGTTTGTTCTAGGGTCTACTGGTCTATGTACTCGCCGTGCTTGTGACGACAGAGGATTGCCCGGCCGGGTATAGTCTGATGAACGGCGAGGTCTCTGTCTCGGGACCTCCAGGCGGTCGTCGGTCGGGTTGAATGGTACCGACGGCCTCATATCTCGAAAATTTTGCGTTCTAGTGTTCTGGAAGGTAAAGCTGTTGGTGGAAGTGTGGTCGATGGGATGTATTCCCGAGGCTGGGGAGGGTCCGGGAATGTTGAAGTCCTCGAATTGTTCAAACATGTTTGTGGTTTCCGGCGGGTGGATGACCAGCGAAGGCTGAGACTGTCCATCGGTGAACAATGGAAAGTCTCCAGATGGAAGGGTAGCGCCCCATGACTGGCTGAGACTCGCGTTTCCATCTTCAGAGAATTGCGCGCTCCAGTCCTCATAGAATGGTGAGGCGGGACTAGGAAGGTGGGAGTGGCTCGACAGGCCGGCGGAGAGGGCGCTGACACTCTGTCGGGGAGCGCTTGTCGGCGTGGTCTGGAAGTTGAAAGTGTTCGTGGGAAACCCATGAGTGGAGGCGGGCGAAGAGCTGGCTGAGAATCCCAGCGTGTTCAGTGACGGACTGGCGCTATTTGTCTGGACGTTGAGGAAGGGTCTCTGGACAACGCCGGGGCTGCTCTCTATCGACGGCACGATGTACTCGGAGACGCTTGTGGTGGCACTATTGAGTGGGTTGAAGTTACCGAAGCTCTCGGCGAAGTCGCTCTGGCTGAACGTCACCGACTCGATGTCGTCCTTCCCGTGCGAGCTGGCTTGGCTGATGCTGCGGGCGAGACCGTGTGATGACGGGCCGGCGGCGCCATGGCCGAGGTCCTTATTCTCAAAGGACGAGCCGCCCCCGATGAGGAGTTCAATTGAGAGCTGTGCGTCTGCGAGGAGATAATCAGCAGTTATTCTGTCAGAGGAGGACCTGGAAGACTGACCGAGATCAGGACCTTGGTTCTTCGGGTCGGGAAGGGAGGGAAGGTCGGCGTTGAAAGCCCTAGAGGTAGTCAGCATCTGCTCTACCTTGGTATGTCCGTGTATGTGTTAGGCACGTACTGGATCGACAACTGAGGGTTCCTTGGCACATCGGTGTCGGGGAGATAGAAGTCATCCACGATCGCAGGGTGGTAGTAGAGGTTAAACGGCTGGATGCCGTCGCGGGCACCAGGCTGCCCGGCCCATGCCGAGGCGTCGTCGCGCTGGTTAGTCCTGTGTGCCATGCCCACGCGCTGGCTTCCTCTTCTTTTCGAGTATCTTCGTGTCTGATGATGTACGGATGATGATGAAGCCACTTCTCGACAAAGTGGGCTGTGTTTGTAGAATGTTTCCTTCTTTTTGAGGTGGGTGGTGGCGAGAGGGGGAACCTAGACGGCCGCGCGCGGGGGGGAAGGAAGCGTCGTCCATCTTATTATGTCCCGTGTCTGCCTTCTATCGTTGTGCAGCCTCGTCTTGCCCAGCCCAGCAAGGCAACGCCCATCGCCTTGATTGGGTTGCAAATGCGCAGTGACATGTGTCTGAAGGTGACGGTGCAAGGTGAGTGGTCAGAAGGAGAGACTGGCATTGGATTGGCGCCTTGGAAGGTGAGGTGCATTGGTGTCAGTGGTAGTGTGGGTGGGGACCAGGACAGGTGTAAGTCACTGATGGCAGCTGGAGGTGGTCCCGTCCGCCTGTCGCTGTACGGTCCCTTTCCGCTAGCGGGTTTAGTGCGCTGCTGGGACGGGAACGAGGACCAACCAGCAGCTGGGCAGCATCGACGTGCACCTCTCGGTGTGTTCCAGCGATGGAAAGAGCACTAATGCGGCCTATGATGCTCCCCCCGGGGAAGGGCTTCCTGGACCCGACACAGGGCGACGGGTTTTAGTGGGCGGTCGACACAATGGGGAAAACGTGCGGTACTTTTCTCGATCAGCGTTCCACTGCGCTAAAGCCGCACCAAGGCAGGGCGCGCGCTGGGCAAACCACGAGGCGCACTGCCAGGGATGCCTCGTCTGAGTCCCTGTCATCATCCTTCGATCAGGACTTCCATCGTCCTTCTATGCATGCAGCAGCAGGGTATGGGTTAGGCCCGGTTAGGTAGTCATCTGAGCTGAGGCATTATTTATCTGGCTCTGTCTACTGGCCGAATCTTGTTTCCCATCATGATGGAGGGTCCCGTTCATCCAATGTTGCCCCGTCTGATTTCCCGGCGCCGTAATCGGTCATGGGTGAATGATTCACACTTTCAGCGGACAAAGTCAAGGCCGTTCTCTGTCTCTCTTGGGGGAAGCTCGCACATACTTTGAGGGAAATTCAATCTTGCCCTATCGAAACAAGCCTCTCGTTCCTCTTCGGGTCACCTAGCGCGTCATACCTCTTTGCCCAAGCACAACTGTCTCACTGATTGAGCCATCCTGTGTGTCGCCGCTCTAAGATTGATGATACCTAAGAACGACCCACCGTCCAGAGACGTACCACGCAGGTAATCCTTGTGCCACCATGGCTTGTAATAAGTCCCATTGGACGATGCAATACCATAAAAGCAGCCTTGGGCTACAGGCGATATCGCGTCCTCGTTCTAAACGTCTTAGGAACGCTCTAGTTGAGCAATTTATTAGGGGGAAAGTTGCCAATTTGACTTGTACTTGGGCTTATTACGATCATAAGCAACTGAAGTTTGAGTGTCTCTTTCATGATCCAAGCTGCAAATGTGAGTGGCATCTTACTTGAATGAAGCCATTTTTCAACACCAATGCCTACCTTACTTAATGGCCATGCTTTGACTGGCTCTGTTCTTTAACTTCGGTCTGGGATATCGTCATGAGATTGGGGCTAATTCTTGCCGGCAAGTGTGAATTTGCCCGTTTCATGGTCAACACTCCCTAACTAACACCTCCGTCGACACCTCTCATATCGGCCATCTCGACAACAAGCGTATGATCTCGACAACAAGCGGATGGTACGATTTACATTTCTCGGGGTTTCAATATGAAGTCTCGTGTGGACATAGACGAACTGGCTCTGGAAATCAACCACTTCTCTCCTTCCCCGTTGCGCTTCCCTCGTTCGCTTGCTTTGCCGCCTTGGCACATGAACCCCAACACACAATTACTGGTGAATATAAGAGAGCCAGCACCTCGTGACATTTGACCCAACGTCTGTCGCTCGCCCTGTTGGTTTCTCCAACCAAAAAAGATGTCTCTCACCGCCACAACGACAACGACCAGCAACGCGACAACAACACCCACCTCGATCTCACTGCTCACAATCACCACGCCATGGGTGGAGCCGTCAGACTGCGCGTCCCAGTGGACGACCAGCACCGTGTCCTATGAAATGTACGGGGGCACCACCGTCACACAAGAGTACACCATTTCCAGCCCCGCGGCGACATGCTATCCTTCTGGGTGGGACAGCTTTGCCCCGGAGCACCGTCTCAGGTTTAGACCGGGCGTATGTCCCGACGGATGGGTTTACAACGACATGGCCGAGCCTATAACCCGAGTGGTCTCGACGGCTCATTGCTGCCAGAGGTCCGCCATTGTCCCTCTTCTTCAAATAACAAGAGCTAAACCGCTGACCAAAATCATCGGTCTAGCGGCTTCGATCGCTTGGGGACCCAAACTTTGAGAAGCCTCTCAACGTTGGCTCCCCTATGTGCAAAATCAGAGTGGACAACCGCAGGCACGAGGTCGGGACCAAGAACCTTGGTGCACGATGCCTGGATCGTGACCTGGGCCAAATCTGACACGGCGACGTTGACGCCCAAGCTGCCGACGCTGACCAGCGGCATGAGGGTGCACACGTGGACGCCCGGTGAGAAAACTCCCAAAGGCCGAGACGACGCGAACAAGGTGGACAACGGCGTCCAGTACATGCGCCAGGGTGTGCTGTGGTTCTTGATGGTTGGAATGCCCATCATCGGGGCTCTCATGATCAGCTCGTGTGTGTGGTGCTGTGTGCGGAAGTGCAAGAAGAACAGGCGGGAGACGAGGGCCATCAAGGCCGCAGCAGCAACATAGCTGCTAGCAATTTTCAATACCAAAATTCTCTATTGGGAATTGAAGTTGTTAAAGAGTGTATGGCACTTTACTATGGACTTATACATGATATCTTAGTGATGTTATGCCTGACCAGCTCACTAATATGCCTCACTTAAAATGGCAACACCGCTAACCGAGTTCGGCTTTGAAACCCTACCCAATCAGTGAGATAACATTTGAATCGCAGTTTTGTCTGACCAACAACACCACCCCGTCCACCTTCCGACCGCGGAACCTCTTCTCGGCAGCCTGATCTTGGCCTCGGTCGCCTTCTTTTGCACTCTTTGTTGCTCCGCCTCCGCCTGCTTCACTCCAAGAAGTCCCAGACTACTAAACGCATTCTCTGTCTCTCTCTTCCTCCCGCCAGCCAGCCTGACCTTCGGCAAGGACCTATCTCCCCCTTCCGGTAGGACATCGGCGACCTGCGACAAGCAGAAAACATGCGGCTCTTGGTAATTCCCTTTACACAACCAAACCCGCAACGGGCATCCTCGACCACCGCCGACTGATGCACTGCCCGTAGCTCGTCAACGACGACGGGCCCCCGTCCGCCGTCTCGCCCTACTTCGCGCCCTTCCTCGCCGCCCTGCACGAGGCGGGCCACCAGGCCGTCGTCGTCATCCCAGACCGTCCGCTCTCCTGGATCGGCAAGGCGCACGCCGTCGGCAAGACCCTCACCGCCGCCAGTATCTGCCCTGCCTCCTTTTCCTCGACCCATTGCCCCGTCGGCTGCGAGGACAAGCCCGACGACCGTCTGCACCGCTGGCTGGTCGTCGACGGGCCGCCCGCAAGCTGCACCCAGCTCGGGCTCTTCCACGCCGGCTTCGCGCCCGCGGACTTTGACCTCGTCGTCTCGGGGCCGAACCACGGCCGCAACGCGAGCACCGTGTGGGCGCTTGGCAGCGGCACCGTCGGCGGCGCGATGGAGGCCGCGCAGTGCGGGCGCCGCGCCGTCGCGCTCAGCTTCGGGAGCAAGGAGCCGCAGCCCGACGGGACTATTCGGGCGGCGTGCGTGCGCGCCGCGGCGCTGGTAGGCGAGCTGGCGAAGGACTGGCACCCCGGCGTGGAGGTGTACAGCGTCAACGTGCCGATGGTGCCGGGGGTCGCGGGAGCGCCGGTGCGGATGACGACGACGGCGCGGGGCCAGTGGGTCACCGGCGGGCTGTTCAGTCCGGCTGCTGCGGATCCCGAGAAGGCGGCGCTGGGGAGGGAGTATCGGTTCCGTTGGGCGCCGCAGCTGGCTGATGTCAAGAAGCAGGCCGAGGAGAGTCCCGAGGGGGAGGACCTGTGGGCTTCTGTGAATGGGGTGATTAGTATTGCGCCGTTGAAGGCGAGTTTCACGGCTGTTGATGTGCGCGAGTGACGATTGCACGCAAGATGATGTGGTGTGCCATTTATAGATATAGACATAGACAGTAGATTAAAAAGAGTAGATAAGAGAACGAGCAGCGGCCGTCGCGTTGGTAGTTCATACGGATACGCAGCCGCCTGCGCTGTCCTCGATGAAGATGCCGCCGTAGATCTGGCCCTCGTCCAGACCGCTCTCCTGGTATCCCGAGTTCACCACGTCGTCGGTCCCCGTGGGCTTCTTGAGCATGCCGATCTGGTACTGGCCCTCGCCGGCGAGGTTAGCTGAGATGATGTCCCCTGATTTCTGCAGCGGCTCGTCGTTGGCGGAGTACCAGACTTGGATCGTGCTAATGTCCCGTCAGTGTCCTTTTCTCAGCCCAAAGGTCAGTACTTCGGGGGAGCTCACTTTTGATCAAAGTCCAGCGTCAGGGCAAAATTCTGCCACGAACCGTCCGTGGCCATCGGCGTGGACCACACCAGCCGGTTCTCCCGGTCCAGCAGCTTGAAGTTATCTTCAGGCAAGCCCGGCTGCCCGATGATGGTGCCGGTCTGGAAGTTGAACTGGTTCGCGTCGTACGCCGCCGTCTCGTGCCAGACGTTCTAACTCCCCCACGTTCCGTTAGCACACCCGCTCCCGCGCAAACTCATCAAGAATCGGGTGTGACGTTACCAGGTACTCATGCGTCAGGTTCAAAGGCCTCTGCGCGTCCTGCCGCACGCTGAAGTGCAGCGTCTTCGCCCCCTCGCCGCCGGGGCTGCCCGTGTTCGCGTCGGCAGCGAACTGCAACCCCGCGCGGCGGAACCCGCGCTGGCTCATGAAGATGCTCTCGTCGGAGATGGTCACCTCCACCGCGCGCGAGCCGGCGGCGGCGTCGAAGCGGGAGGCGGGGACCGACGGGAGGAGGACGATGTCGGACCAGAGGAGGGCGTTGCCCTTGACGTAGGACGGGTTGAAGGGGTTCCAGCCGCCGCCGTTCGGGGTGTCGAAGTCGGTCGGGACGGCGGTGGAGGGGACGCGGCCGTCGAAGATTATGGGGCACCGGATGAGAGAGCGGCAGGTTAGGGTTGCTGAGAGGGCTGGTGTTGCGAGGATTAGGAGTGTGAGGGGGTGCATTTTGAAGGCCGCGGGTTATGGGGATTGATTTGGTGATTTGGAGATGGTTTGAGGAATTGGCGAGGATGGGGGATTGATGTTGTGTTTTTATGCCAGTACATGTGGACGGTCTGGGTCATTGATGAGGTTGGGTGCCGTATGTCGGTGTTGTCTGTTCTAGGCAAGAACGGGGGCTTGGCTCCGAGAAGTCGGAACATCTGTGTTTTTCGATCCTAGCGAGTGGCGATCTCTAAGATTGTATCACGGAACACTGGTAGATGACTGCTGGCGATCTCGCATTGTCACATTTTCTTTTGCGTGGCTACCATGACGTTAGTTTTGCCCTGTATCTCGTGAGCACGGTGCGACGTGCTGACATGTGTCTTCAAAACATGCAGCGACCACTATGATGAGAGATCGAATGCAAATGAGAATCAGGTCGTCAAGACGTCCTGAGGAGAATCTAAACACTGTCTTGGGGTTTCAGTTGAGTGCACTTTTACTATCTGACAGCTCAAGCGGGGCTGCGTCAAACCAGTCTAATTGTTCGATGTTCCCGGTGAACCCCTCGGAATACTTGGAGCTGAACGAAAGAAGATGCGTATCAGAGACGTTGAACACATATCGCTTTTGTGTGTTTTACTTACCTTCCAAGCTGGATGCCCAATTTATTCCAACGTTGGTATGAACTCGAAAACTGTATCTACGAGCACAGGGGACATATGATCTGGATAAATACCGAGCTCGTCATCTTTTTCTCAACAAAGCTGGATAATCACTCTTTCGGATGCCGAAAAAGATTTTCAACTTCGCATGCTTCTCGGCCTTGAGAAACTGTACGTGAAAGTAACGTGTGCTGTCTTGGGTAGTTTTGTTGAATGGAATGGATCGAAGTATTGGTAAGTATATACACGTGCATCTAGACTAGAAAGGGACGGCAGAAGACGATGCTCGCATACAGTGAAAGCTAATGAGAATAAATTTGTAGAACAGACTGTAAGTTATGAGGTAGTGTCTTGCAATGGAAACTAGTACGAATCTATTAACTTGTGAGTAATGGAACTATTGTCAGAATGCATTGGTGATACTGATCTAGATGGAAAGAACAGTCTGCTTTTAAAAACCTTGAGAAAGGCAATATCTTGGGTCTTGCTGGGAAAGCCTATAGCGAGATTTGATGGAGGAAGCCGGTCTCATCTTCTTTCTCCAAAAGGCACATCATAATATTTCTGACAGTGCGGCAAATAAAATGCTTACCCGTCTGCAGACGGCTGTGAAATTTAAGCTTCATGTGTTTTTAACTCGACTGAAGATGCCTACAACGAGTTTGTAAATAGTCTTACGTGTTGCTTATGACTGAACTTCAAACATAATTAAGTTTCATTCATAGGGGCAGAATACATCTGAGATGATGGGAATGATGAGAGAAGGTGAGGTTGAGAAACACATCACGACTCCGTAGCAAGATGAAGCTCAGAGTCCTCAATGCCTACGTAAATAGCGGATCACTAAAAGGGTTCAAAGGGGAACACACGAATGGCCTTGAGGGCTTTTCAGGTTCTGCCATAGGTTTTCTTGACTTTCGCAATCCAATTGTGACTTTGTGCGTGTGGCATCATAGAATATGTGTGAACATATCACGTATTTTACAAGCTAAGGGTCGCGCTGAACTTGGACCCTCTCAACACGTTAGCTCCTGGGAAATTGATCCTCGTGAACCGGCGGACGCGGCATTCCTAACTACCTCATCCTTTAAAAGCTTGACTAGGCTTCGAATAGGTGACTTCTGCAGCAAATCTATGTTTTGAGTCTCCCCTTGATGTCCGTTGTCTGTCTGACCAATGAGCGCTATACGCGCGCGAAATCATCCTTGTTTCTGGCAATGATTCGGTCTTTTAAGCAAATCTTGGTCTGTATCCAGCCTTTGGAATACGTCAGTGTGTATTCCGAAAGCCCCCGCCGGTACAGGATAACAACGGGAGGGAAGAGCTGGGAAGGTCAAATTGCAAATTCATACCTACCTCCGTTGGGACAGTTGTGTCTTTTATGTGGTGATGGGACATGCGACGTTCAACTAGCTATGGAAGTTACCGTCACTGGCGTTTAACAGAATAATTCAAAATGTTACTCTGCACCTTGAAGGCATGACCCTTCTTCGATGAACTTAGGATCTGGACGCAAAGTCAGAATGACTGCCTGGCCTTGATGCATCCACGCGACGATGACGATCGTCGACTGCTATGCAGTCCTCACCGAATACCCAATCCGGAAACCGATGCAAGATGACCCGTCGCTAGAGCAAGAACTTGGGGTGGCGCAGGGCATGTACCAGCCACTCGGGACCGTCGCGTGTCTCTCGTCGATGCAGATACGAAATACGGTCCGGCGGCGGGGACCCAATGGCAAGCGGGGCTTTGCGCCGAGTGGGGCCGTGCCTGTGACGGTAAAGCCCGGGCGATGATTATGCCCGACTTACTGGCACGTTGCTGGCCTCATTTGATGAGAAAACGACGGAGGGGCATGAGGCTTTTTGCGA